TCCTGTTCGAACACATTCATCAAAATGAACTAATCTTTTCTTCGTGTCATTTGGTTCATTTAACGAACGAAATGAACTATTTGATTCGGGAAAAGATTTGTTCATTTTGATGAACGAGTTCGAATAGAAGAGTCACGAACGTGCATCACAGAACAGAGCAAGGCGACCATTTATAAACTTTGCTGTTTTTTTTGTTGTTGTTGTTGTTGTTTTTAAATGAGCGATCGTTTCGCTTGATAAGACCCTGATAGCAATAGCAAATCTAGGTTTTTTCTGGTAAGTGACGGAATTGTTTTCTGGAACTGCAAAATAGCTCCAGGGATTGTTTGCGCCGAAACACGCCTCCTTTATTGCGCTAAACCGCCCAGGGAGCGCAAGTCCATTCCTTAGTTTAACCAACGTGCGTCTGTGGAGGGAAAAGTCCGCTTTGCACGGGTGCAAAATAGGAATGATACATGCGTCGTTGTACGAAGTCATTTGCGCCGTGTGCAAGATAGGGCCCTATATATTAGTCTTTTCTAAACTAGTTTAAATATTCAAACAGAAGCCTTTAGATTTGAACTTTTATGAAGAGCATGAGAATCTCTTTCAATTTACATTTGTCCAAACTTTTAGGTTATCCGTATTGAGTGTGGATCTTCCTCCTTGCCAGCAATTGATTCTCAAAGGATCTGTCTTCATACTTGACTGTATTGTGATCTCTCTATGAGAACTATAGGGATGACGTGAATTCACTGGGACCCGTGGTATTTTTAGAGAATATTTGATTCACTGTCCAGATGATCGTCTTGCCCTGCTCTCATGAACTCTGTCATTCATTACTCTGCAAGCAGAGATCACAGACTATTCCATTGGTTATTTTTAGACTCAACTTAGCCTAAGCCATTACCTGTTTTTATTCTGGTACTTCTAACGTAAAGCCACTGTTTTAAAGCATCCACTTGTAAAGCACCATTTGTAAAATTCTCCAAATGAATGTCAAACTGATCTGCACTACATTGCATCAAACAGGCCGCTTTTGTATTCTCTCTCAGCTTTAGAAGTGCTCTGAGAGCCATTATGTGTCGGTCCAGTGCTGGCAGACTGAGAGTTATAGTTCAAGCTCTCATGTAGAAATTCTCTATCTTTAGCTAAAGGTGGAAATTATGCATGGTAATTTGCATACAGTCTTTAAGTGTAGGTCACTGCAAAAATGTGAAGAATTGTGGCTTCTCTTTGTTAGGATAACTTACGAAGATGAATTAACATGCCAAAATCTTGGCCAGTATTATAACCTATAATTACATTTGAACCGATATATTGGCCGATTAATCTAAATCCAATTTTTTATATAAATTGACAGCCTGAATAGAAACAAAAAAGTCCCAAGCACATAATTTTTACGTTCTCATTATAATTTTATGCCTATTTGACAGACTTGACTTTAAGTGATTTCAATCAAATTTTAAGCAATTCAAAACCATCATGACAAACAGTGCGCATCTGAAGTGTCTCAGCTGAAGGAAATAATCTTATCTGGGGCCTCATGTACAAAGACTTGCGTTGAATTCATACTAAAACATAGCGTACGATCAAAGCTGTAAATGTGCGTACGCACAAAAAAAACCAGATGTATGAATGTCTGCGTACGAAGGATCCCACGCATATTCTCTTTGTACATCCCAATTAACGTAAAATTGAGCGCACATGCACGAGCACAAGGCCCACCCAGTCTCCTCCCTCAATTAAATTAATTTAGATATGGTAATAGTCCAATTCGGCAAAAGAAACCTGCAAGGAAATGGCTAAAGAAACCTGCAAGAAATGAAATTCCACTGAAAATGTTTTCTATGTGAATATATGTGAAAGTGTAATTTATTCCTGTGATCAAAGCTGAATTTTCAGCATCATTACTCGTCTTCAGTGTCACGTGATCCTTCGGAAATCACTCTAATATGATGATTTGATGATCAAGAAACATTTATGATTATTATCAGTGTTGAAAACAGCTGTGCTTCTGCTTCATATTTTCATGGAAACCGTGATATAGTATTTTCAGGATTCTTTAATGAATAAAAACTTAAATCAAACACATATAGAAATCTTATAATCGTTTTTAACATTATAAATGCATGTACGGGCACTTTTAAACAAATTCAATATGTCCTGGCTGAATAAAAATGTTACTTTTTTTTTTTTTTACCTTTACTGACCGAAATAATGAAGTTTAATTTTTATTTCCTATAGTAAAGCCAACGCTGCCATTGCTAGACGGGTTTGCACATGCTTTATGTTCTTACTTTATTGCATAATAGAATATTTTAATAAGACTCGTGTGACATAATTTGTAATTGATACATTATTTGACATATCATTAAGCAATATCTGACAGCTGGTGGTGCGATAGAACAATTCGTAGAGTAATGTTTGCCACTTCACCTTATTGCCTCTAGGAGTCGCCAACGGACAAATCAAGGCAAATGTACGTACGCCAGACATGAAGTTTACTTGGAGGAACGCACATTCTTCCATTAATTTCACTGTTAGTACATCTGGCCGTGAACGTGAAAGCTGGCGTACGCCGTGTTTTTGTACGTACGCAGTGTTAATAACATGAGGCCCCAGGTCCGTAATTATCAGGCCGATAAGGAGAACGTTATAGATGATCATAGCGATATGGTGGCCGGTATATCGTGCATTCCTAGTTTAGTGCGTTTTAGGCAGCTGAGCTTTTATATAGTCTCATGCGGTCAGACTTTTGTCTAATGGTGAGTTCACACCGGACGCGAATAGCGCGTCAGGCGCGAGTGATTTCAATGTTAAGTCAATGGAAAGACGCGTTACACACGTAAAAAATTCCTGCGGCGCGGTAGATGCGAATACGCCTCATTCGCACGTCACGTTCGCGCGAATGGTGCAAATTGAGCATCTGGCACATTAAGAGCGAATGATTTAGTTAGTGCTATTTGTGCATTCACACGTTTGACGCGAATTCGCGCCTGCCGCCCGAGTTGAAGAATCTGAACTTTGGCATCAATTCGCGTCGCGGTAACCAATCAGGAGCCTAGCAGCTTGCTCACGTGGTGAAGGATCTGGATGCTTCAATATATACAACAAAGCAAATATTTTATCCCTTAAAAAAAGGGCAAGGGTGATCCTCGCTCCGATGCGGGTCATCAAACTGACCGCGGGACAGGCGGAAGTACCGCTGACAGCGGCCGTCATCCAGAGCAGCAAATGACGAAACTCGCCAAACGGTTCACCTCTAAAGGATCCGGTGGAGTCGAGCATAAATACGGTGACGATGATCCCCACGCCGCTGTTCTGCTCTCCAGAGCAAATACAGTGACTCTCTCGATGAATGTTCGATCAAAATAAAAAAAGATGGCCACCAACGGGTTTCGATTCTGACCCGGGTCAGTTTCACTCTTGACACGTGAATGAACACAAAGTGGTCAAGCGTCAAACTAGACATAGGGATAAAGTCCAGACCATACTCCATACTGAAGATTTTTCTGGCTAAGATTGACCGGTTTGTAAAGATACCCAAGTTTGTCCTGATTTTCTGTGGGTGAAGGAATTTGTTTTGCGTTTTGTTTCGCACTCTGTGTAACATTTGACTTTCCCACACAAGCATGTGACGCTTCAGTGGTCATGGGAAACACATGCGCTCTGCCCCCTGGGACAATTGATTTAGGGAATGTCATGTTGATTTCTAAGCTAGAAGGCCATGAAGGGGTCATGCTTGGAAGTGGGGTCTGGACGGATCAATTCTCCTCTGCCCTCACACCCAATGGAAGTAAGGGTTTTGGGGGAATTTGCCGCCTCACAGGATCGTTACAGCATAAAGCTGAGCAGGGCTGTGTGATCACTGATTTTCCCTGCCTTTTTCCCCCCACAAATCAATGACCTAGCCTGGCTTCGTTAAATCGTTCCACACTACAGAATAAAATAAAGGCCTCATCGCCTGCCTTTTTTTTCTATTAGTCTCTCTCTCTCTCTCTCTCTATCTTTCTCTGTCTGTCTCCCCTCTTCGGTAATAATCTAATTCGAGGTGAGCTTTTTACTCTTTATTCTTCTTTCTCGCATTAGGGTGAGGGCATTTTTTTAAATGAAAAAAGGCTATTTTCTGCTGTTCTTGATCATGACTGAGATGGGGCAGTATGGTAGATAGGCCTCATTGAACATCTTATTCCCACCCAAGTGTTGATTGATCTTATTGAAAATGCACCTTGCAAGAGAGAATTCATCTACAAAATATCCTATATGGAAACGTAGAAAAAAATCTCTAAAACATTATTGGACTAGATGAGATTAAAGGCATAGTTCTCCTAAGAAAGAAGAGTCTCATCCTTCTGTTATTTCAAACTCATCCCAAACTTACTTTCAATGAAACAGACAAAAAGTTGAATGGACTATTTGATAGTACTTTATTGTCCTGTTTGGATCTCACTGTAAATATTCGCACATTTCTACTTTACGTAATAAATATAGTCATATTTTAAGGACTTTTGTTGGTCCTTAAAACTCACCGGAAACTGAATTGACCCTGTTCATCTGTTCAAAATGAGGCCATTCGAATGCCTGTACATAGTGAGTCAAGTCACCTTTATTTTTTTATAGCACTTTTTACAATACAGATCGTTTCAAAGCAGCTTTACAGAGATGACAGCAAAATAATGCAACAAAGTTTGTTTCTGCTGTAAAACAGATCTAGAAGAAAATAGCGTCATAGTCCAGCTTAAGTAAGTTCAGTGATGGTGTATTTTTGTGTAAAAAAAAAGTTATTAATTTAGTTTGGCTGCTCTGGAGCAAACAGTGATGTCATCATCAAGCTCATTTCAGTTCTCATATAATGGTGTCAATGCAGGCAGATTAACAATATTGTTGAATACAGTATATTAACTGTCCCCAACTAAACAAGCCAAAAGCCAAAGTAACTAAGTTCTTATCATCCATGCTTTTTTTTTCAGGATCATGTAAAATATATATTGTGTAAAAACAATACTGCTAAAAAATGATCCCTTGTCACGCTGGTTTGTCTCTGTGTTTATTATTTCTATAATGTTTTGCAGTTGCCATATGAGCTACAGGACATGGTGAACAAGCACATGAAGAGCAGCTTGCCTAACAAGACTCAGGGAGCTCAAGCCCAGGATCCCGACACTCTGAGCCTGACTCCCGCAGACGTAGTGCCCACTTCAGTGATCGCCCGAGTTCTTGAGAAGCCCGAGCCCCTGGTGCTCAACTCAGCCCAGTCGAGCAGCAGTGCAGGTCGGCCAGTGGCCGAGGACGTGTTCGTGCACGTTGACATGACGGGACCACAAGATAGCGGTGGAGGGCATGAGAATGGTGGTTCTGTTCATGCAAGGCCTCCCGCGGGTGCCGGTTCTGATCAACAGCATGTAAACGGCATGTGCCGAAGCCAGGGTTGCCTGGATGGTCCGACAGGAGAAGATGGGGGCGCCCCCTCTTTTGAGAAGTTGAATCCGTACCCAGCTCCTCCACCACCAAACCCGCTCTACCCTGGTCGCAAAGTTATCGAGTTCACTTCAGACGACAAAGTCAAGATCCCCAAGAACAGCCCACTTCCCAACTGCACCTATGCTACACGTCAGGCCATTTCTCTGAGTCTTGTACAGAACGAAGAGGAGGCAGCGGAGCGCCAGCGCACCGTTCCCAATAGCCCAGCTGTATCTGATGGGGGTTGGCGGTCGGGGACCTCCTCATCTTCCGGCGGAGGACTCGCCTCTCACCAGCGCACACCTCCGCAGATGGATGCTACGGACACCCTCTCCAGTCATTCGAGTCCCTTTAGCAGCCCCCCTCAGCCGCCTAGTGCTTTTGCCAGCTCTGGTAGTTCTGAGGAGGATCTGCTGGCCAACTGGCAGCGCATGTTTGTCGAAAAAATGGCACCGTCTACAGACGGCTCCCTTGTCAACCGTACATCCTTCAGCAGCGAGACTGTGAAAGATCTCCAAAGAAGTCACAATGGAAAATCAGGAGACGGTGCTCTGAGAGGTGCCTACTCTGACGGCGAAGAGGGTTCCTCGGCCCAGAGCTGGACAGCAAGTAGAGAGTCCAGTTTGGATACCGACACCAGCAGCATGGCGGACCTCCGGGCAAAGAAGACGCACTATGGAGGTGACTTTTCCCAGGAAGAGGGTGAACACCTACTGATGACCCTTGATCCACTTGACAATGATGGTGCTAGTGGAGACACCATGGTCACCATTGAGAGCAGTCCAGTTTCTGCTGAGCATCAAGAGTTTGCTGACGATGCGGGATCAGCGGGGAGTTCAGCTGAGGAACGGGATATCCTTCCCCGGGACTTGCCTGTCATTGGCTCAAAGGTCGTAGCTGCCCTTGAGGACTTTACAGACAAGCCGCCTCGGACTGGCACTGGCTCCACACGACCTCTGAAGAGTCCCAAGAGGATGGGGGTTCATCACTTGCACCGTAAAGACAGCCTTACCAGAGCGCAAGAGCATGGAAACTTGCTGGACTGAGACTTCCAGGCTTATTTTTCTCTTTTTTGTTTTGCTTTTTTTACCTTGAGTGCTCTTTGTCTTACTAGCAATCACTAGTCATAGCAGCACACGACGAGTGGAAGGGATTGAATCAGCCTTGCTGTAGTTATCCTTGAGGCATCATTGTAACTCTTCTGTCCTCTCTTTGAGGCATGGATCTCTCTTATCTGTTGAACCTATGGGATTGATGGATCAGTGGTAAAGTACCGACTGCAACTTCAATTACTCTGACTAGTGGACAGTGCTTCAGGGATCGTACAAGAATGTCATAGATTGATTTAAGGTGATTTCCACCAGTCCAAGACTTGCTTCTGCTT